AAATAAACCATAGACAAAGACCTCCCCATACTCTTTGTTAAAATAATTATTTATATTATATAAATTGAGATAATATTTATAGTCAGTTACATAAACAAATATGAAAATATACAAAGAAAACAATTATAGCAAATGTTAACAGTGCCTACCTAGGAATGGTAGAACTGGGAAGATTTTGTGGGGGTTTTTTATACTTTAAAATTTTAAAATAGAAATTATTCTTGCAGAAATTAAGTTGATGAATAAAATACATATAACATAAAATTTACCATTTTAAACATCTGCAAGTCTGTAATTCAACAGTATTGTATACATTTACAGTGTTGCACAACTCTCAATACAATCTAGTTCAAGAACTTTTAAATCAGCCCAGATGGAGACCCTGTGCTCATTAAGCATTCACTTCTTGTTCCCTCCTTTCATCCTTTGTTGTTGTTGTTAAGTGCCATTGAACTGAATATGACTGATAGTGACCCTGTGAAGAAGCGATCTGAACCTGGTCCATCCTCATATCTCTGACACACTTGAGCTCATTGCTGCAGTCACTGTGTCAATCCATCTTGTTGGTCTTCCTTTCTCTTGCTAGCCCTCCACCTTTCCAAGAATGATGCTTCCTTCCAAGGAGCAGCTTCTCCTAGCCAACATGCCCACTAATCTGTTTTCTATGTCCAAAGTTTTACCTATTCTGGATATTTCATATGAATGGAATGATACATACATGACCTTTCATTTCGGTTTCTTTCACTTAGCATGTTTTCAAGATTTATTTATGCTGTAATATGTATCAGTACTTCATTCCTTTTTTATGGCTGACTAATAAGCCATTGGATGGATGTACAGTCTCTGGATGTTTGATGCAAAGAGTTAAGTCCTAAACTACTAACCAATTTGTTGGTGGTCAAGTGCACACTGGCTCCTTGGAAGAAAGGACTGGTGATCTGCTTTCAAATAGTTTAGTCTTGAAAATCCTATGGAGTATAGTTCTGTTTAGCAACACATGGGATCACTATGAGTTGGAATCAATTTGACACTAACAGGTTTGTTTTTAATATGGACATACCACATTTTGATTATTCATTCATCAGTTGATAGAAATTTGGGGTTGTTTCCACCTATATTATAAACATTGGTGTACAAGTTATTGTTTGAACACCTATTTGGGTACATCCTTATTTTAATGTCTTTAATTCTTTCAACTTTAGCATTTTTTTCAGAGTTTTTATTTATTTACAGAATATTAGTTTCTCTAACCTAACCCATGTAGAAAAGACCTTACATATTTAATTTAGTGCAGTACTCCTGTAAAAATGAAAAAAAAACAAAAACAAAACAACACCCTAACATTTTTAAACCAATATGGCTATTAATTTCTGTACAATGCAAACGTGGACAGCACAACGAAAGTTTCCAAAAATTCAAATTATATATATTACTTTGGTGTTCTTATGTTTAAAATAGCAATATGTTTTTTTTCCAGAATTATAAAGGCTAACACTTAGAATACCATTCCTACAATAATACCATTCCTTTTTAATTTACTGACTACTCATTTTTTCTTAAGCCCAAATCACATTCTTGAACTTAAAAATGTAATTTCCATTACATTTGAATTTGTTCTTTGGGAACAAATTTTTCTTATGCCAAATACATTTCACTATGATAAACTAACTAAAAAGGAATGTATTTTCCTTGTGCCATGATAATTATAGCAGTACTTCATTTACTTTCAAATTTTTAAATATTGAAAGTATAAAATTATAGTTGTATGTTTTTCCTATGGTGAATAACACTGCTATGAATATTGGTGTACATGTCTCTGTTTAGGCTTCAGTTCTCATTTTCTCAGGGTATATATATCCCAAGCAGTGGAACAGCTGGGTCATATGGAATTTCTACATTCAGCTCTTTGAGGAAATGCCAAACTGCCTTCAAGAGTGGTTACACCATTTTACAATCCCACCAACAATGTATCGCTCCACATCCTCTCCAACATTTATTACTTGCTGTTCTGTTAAACTTTGCCACTGCTACTGGAGTAAGATGGTATCTCATTGTGGTTTTGGTTTGCATCTCTCTTCTTGCCAGTGACTTTGAGCATTTGTTCATGTGTCTGTTGCCCAACCACCATGGAATGGATTGAGATATTATGGTATATTCACACAGTGGAATACACACAGTGGAATTCACACAGCGTGCAGGAGCAATGATTTTGTAAATTACTACCTAACTTAGGAGGGACTGGAGAGCATTATGCTGAGTGAACTAACTCAGTCTCATAAAGACAAATAATACTGTATAAGACCATTATTGTAAAACGAGTATGAGGATCCAAGGAGATGCCGGGTTACACAATTTGATTGATAGAGGTAGGAGTGGGTAAAGGAAAGGGGAAAGATCTGATGTGAAAAATAATGTATATGAACTTTATGAACTTTGTATGTAAACAAGTATAAAATTTTTAAAAAGACATAAAAAATTATTGTTTTATGAATTTTTATTTTGCTTCAACAGGGAAGTATTACTCAGTATAATCGGAACAGACTCAAAGCTGACCCTCCAGTGGGTTTTTCAGAGGTTGTAAATTGCATAGGAGCATGCCCATCTTTCTTCCACAGAGTGGCTGGTGGATTTGAACCACATGCTTTTGGATTGGCTGTGCAACTCCTTAATACTATACCACCAGAGCTCCATAACTTAATAGATACGACTATTTAAGCCCAATGGAATGCACTAAATACTCAATACCAAATAATTGTTTAGAATCTTCCAGAGATTCATGTCTACAAATGATGACCAAAGAGGACAGGTACACCCTGAAAAAGCACACAGTAGCAATTTGTAATTTATCTCCCACCCGTCTAACAGAAAACTAGTAAGTCTCATGACCATAAAAGCACAATAATATTATCATTAATTTTAGCTGTTTGCAGAACTTTGTAGGTAGCTTAAGAGGATCACAGTGTACTTGGAGATAAAACTGAACTCTTGGATTCTCTTCTTTTTTCCTTCCTTACTCATACATATGATTCACATCTGTCTGTCTCTCTCTTTCACACACAAATACACACACACACACGCATAATGCAATCTAGAAAACAGAAATATCATTCTGGCTACAGAAAAAGCTGTAGTAGCCTGTAACAGTAAAAGAAACATCTAAAACTGTTATTTTTTTCAAAATTATTATATTTTATTAGTAAATAAAACTCTCACTCATTGCAGTTGAGCTGGAACAGACTTGTAGTTGATCCTCCACTGGGTTTTCAGGGGCTATAAAGTCACACAGGAGATCGTCCATCTTTCTCTTTCTCCTAAAGAGCTGTTCATAGATTTGAACCACCAAAGAGCCACCTTAGCAGTGCACTTTCCTATGGACTGTGCCACCAGAGCTCTACTACTAAGTAGAGTATATGATTTGGAATAATTAAAAAATGTAGTACTGGGGAGTATTTCCATAATACTGGCAGACTTTAAGAAAAATTCAAATAAGAACAACAAGCTTACATAAAATTTTAACTATGAAATATTCATTCTACAAAAGCTTTTTATATATTCCAATTTTTTCTAGAAGCAGTATTATAATATTTTCCTTTATGAAAAATCATAAAATGGCTTCAAGTTCTGATAATGCCTTAAAAAAAAAATCTTAACACAAAACCCAGAAGGAACTCTTTCATCCTACTCTCTACAGAAGTCTGTAAATAGCTCTAGCATAACAATAATAATTTATATCACAGAGGCTTTTCAGATGCAGATTAAGAACTTTATTAATCACTTGTTTTAAATGTGGAAAATGGAATTGCAGTGTACTGAATTGTCCAAAAACTCACGAGAAATAAGGCAAAGCCAAAAAGAAGATTGAAGCTCAACTGCTTGCCACAAGGCAAAATATCTCCGTTACTATGGAGATGCTCTATTTAAACCAATGGAACATGATAATGATATAGTAATAGGGAGCTCTCGTGACCCAGTGGCAAGAAGCTGTGCTGAACACAGTTCGAATCCACCAGTTGTTTGGTGGGAGAAAGATGGGCAATATCCACCTGTGCGATTAACTGCCTCTGAAAACCTGCTGGAAGGTCAGCTATGGGCCAGTTTCCAATCCACGGTAAACAATAACAACAATGCAATTTATAAGCATATGAAGAAAATGCTGAGAATCTGATTGAATTCCCTATATATCTATGTTACTATTTTTCTTAGTTACTTGATTGTAAAAAAGTGTTTTATGCCAGGGCCAAATCTTACCACTTTTGTACTTGTAGTACATCACTTTGAATACAGTGGACATTCTGTATGGGGTGTGCTTGTGGATAAGATTTCATAGACATATTCTTAATTATCACCTCCCAACCACCAAAGTAAATCATAGTCAGGACCTTTGAATGCCATGAACAGCATACATGAAAGCCAACTTCATATACTAAAAGAATAATACAAGCATGATTAATATCATCAATGTCAATAACATTAACACACAAAAATACTCTAGATATAATCTTAATAACATTTGTTAGTTTTGATTAAGTGCATAAATTAAGGTAGAGAAGAATGAATTAGCATTATTCAACAATAGTTAATCAACACTCTGTTGTTATCTTTGAGCTGATTTCCCCAACTGGAGTATTTTCCTAACTCTTGTGTTCCTTCTTTCTTACATCCTCTGGCCCATCTAATCATTTGGTGGTTGTTATACCAGAGTGCATGGAATGGAAACAAAGGACAAATGTATTCCAATGAATCCTTCTTACTACTTACTGACAGCTTTTAATAATAAGATGCTCGGATAGTAGGATATAAAAATGAAGACTAAATTTTCTTTGGTGATCATAATATTTTATGAAATCTCCTTCAACAGTGAGTTTATTTTATCTGCGTCACTGTCAACCTTCCTTACACTAGAGAGGGAATAGGTTGAAAGAGTTCGGTTTGGGGCTTAATTTTTAACATGTACTCAGGATTTACTTTCGTTTTGCCATAAGTATCTTCAACAGTCTTACCTCCCAGTCCAAATAATCACAGACATCTTCGAAGTTAGTGAGAAGAGATACTGAGCAGAAAAGCCGTGGCAGCTCATCCCTTGTCATTGGGGGGAAACGGCTATCTTTAAGGGCACTGTTGAAAGCAAAAGCAGTATTAGAGCAATCACTTGGATATGACATTTCCTAACTTCAATTCCAATAATTTGAAAAAGGTAAGAGATTAAAAAAAATACATACCTAAAGGTAGAATAATTTTCAAATATATTCAGAGATTTTCAAAGTCATAATTTTTTATTAACTATGTAGCCAGTCCTGTGACTATAACAATTATAAAGAGTAAATTATAAATTACATTTCCTGTACAGTCATTTCCTGATGCATTTCCACGTTACATTTAGAATATGAGAAAGTTTTCTTTAACTTTTGAGATGAATACAAACCAGCCTCATAGAAACTTGTAAGAAAACTTCAAGACTTCGTGTTACTGAAGGGGAAAACTATGTGTGTATTTATCTGTCTCCATGTATATTCATATGAATATCTACCTACCTTATCTATGTGTAAAGGAAAGGTTTATGCACTGTATTGGCCAGTAATCACAGATTAATACTCAAAGGGTTAAAAAAAAGAGATCAAAATTCCATTTTCTTCAAGCCGAAGAAATTAAAGAAAATGAACATAATCATGCAAATTATCAACTAAAAATATTCACAAGGATTTCGGGTCCCCTGTAAAGGATAATTCAAGGTCTAACTAAAAACTGTGAACTACAGGAAACAGTACTAATCTAGGAAATAAAAGTATGATTAGGACCATTAATCACATCAGTAGACTTTTAAGAACATCAACTCTGATTGGATTCCATAATCAGGTATAGTATACCACAGTTCAAAACTGTAGAAAAAAACCCTCTATAAGGGAAAAAATTGCCCAATTCTTCATGCAATAGACTAGACATACAGACATATACATTCACACACACGTGTGCACACTGTATGTCCCTTGTACTTTTAAAGGAAACCACTTTTGGTCAAGAAAAGCACTTCTGATTGCACACAAATTAATGGCACTGCTGACATTTGAGCCACCCATCTTCAGATGTCCTATATAGCAGACATGCTTAGGAAATGTTTTCAGTTTAGTCCCTAGTGGAGAAGCCTACAGTCTACTTGAGCCATAACAAAGTTCTGGGGTTTTTGGATATATTTTTATTCCTTCAGTGAATTCTTCATTGCTTATTTGTTTTTCTTTTCTTTTCTCCATTCCCTCCTTTGCAATCTGAAACTTGCTCACTTTATTTTACAAATACATTACCATGTTTGTCAGTACTTTTGATGGATTTTGGCACTTGCGCTATCCTGATATACAAAGGAAAATGTTTGTAAGAATATACACAGATGTCTTATATTTATAAAGTGTAAATGATTTTTCCCCTGAAGGAGTCAAGATTAACTGAGAAAAATCAGAATATATGTGATAATTCATACTCTGAGAAGTATTTCACTATTTAATAATGTAATGCCATAAATTTCCTATTATTTGGTTCTTTAATTTTCCTACTAAAACAAAAGTGTCAAATTTACTCCAACTGCTCATTCAACATGAGAATAAAGACAACATGGTTTGTACATACCCTCCTACACACACACACACACACACACACAGAGGCACGTCTGTACTGAGAAGTTCTAAAGCCCACACCAGAAAACGCCATACATAAAAACCAAAAGGCCAATCTCATTTTCACTTTTCCAATTTAAAAGAAGTAGCTTTAAAAAAAGGAAGTAATTTTTTGGTAATATATAAATGTTTATTATAAATAACCTTGGATGAAGTAATAATACCAAATATATTACATACAATGCAAGTGAGCAGGCATTCAGATCACTGATCCACACAGCCTGGAGTCATTTTAAAGACTCTAGGAATTTAGTAATTACAGTGCCTATGAAAACATATTGCCTAAAACAGGGGTAAACTGGTTTTAATCACACATAGAAATGTATGTCCGTTTTAATTAGAAGATAACGTACATAACTTTAAATTTATTGCTTATATTTTCAGAACAGAGCAAGGAAATACTACATGGTTCAAAACTGGGAAGGGTGTATGGAAGTGATGCACCCTATCTCCATACCTGTTCAAGCGATATGCAGAACAGATCATCTGAGAGGCTAGGCTCTACGAGGAGGAATGTGGCATCAGGATTGGGAAAAGATTCATCAACAACCTGTGTTATGCAGCTGACGTAACCCTGCTTACTGAAACTGAGGAGGACCTGAAGTGCTTGCTGCAGAAGGTCAAGGACTGCAGCCTTCAACATGGATTGAAGCTCAACATCAAGAAAACAAAGATTCTTACCACTGGGCCATTTGGCAGCATCATGGTAGGCGGTGAAGAGATTGAGATTGCTAACAGCTTTAGTTTGCTTGGCTTCACAGTCAACACTTTGGTACCAATAGCCAGGAAATCAAAAGACAAATTGCATTTGGAAGAGTCTGCTGTTAGGGACCTCACCAGAGTACTGAAGAGCAATGACGTCAGTCTGGAGACTAAGGGATGCCTGATCCAGGCCATAGTCTTCGCAATTATTTGCTATGCATCAGAAAACTGTACAATGACTAGGGGTGACAGAAAGAGAATTGATGCCTTGAGCTGTGTTGTTGGAGAAGAATACTGAATATATCTTGGACTGGCAGGAGAACAAACAGGTTCATCCTGGAGAGGATGAATCCAGGCTACTCCTTGGAGGCAAGGATTCTGAAGCTTCATCTGACATACTTTGAGAATTTTGCAAGGAGGGACCAGTCCTTGGGGAGGGACATCATGCTTGGAAGGGTGGAGGGAACAGTACCATAGAGTAAGACCCTCGATGAGATGGGTTGATTCAGTGGCTGGGATTATAGAAGTAGATATGTCAGAGACAATTAGGTTGGGAGAGGATAGAGTGGGGTTCAGAACTGTTGTACATAGGGTCGCTATGAGTCACAAGTGACTCGACAACACATAACAACAACATGTTATTTAAAATATTGAGCTCTTTCTGTTCTCACATTCAAATTCTGATAATTCTTCCTAGAATCAGTGTTAAATATTTCTTTTCCCATATTTTACAGGCAAGAAACAAATGCATCCAAAATTATCTAACTACTTGCTGGCTCTTTACATCAAGGGTATTTTTTTGTTTTGCTTTGGTTTTTGTCCTGTACCCCCTCAGCTCCGTGCCACCACTCAGCTCCATGTTCCCCAGCTATGCACCCCCTCTCAGCTCAGCACCCCCTCAGCTCTGCACCCCCTCCAGCTCCACACCCCTTGCTCAGCTCTGCACTTCCCCCTAGCACCCCGCACCTCCTCCAGCTCCCTGCTCTCCCCATCCCTGTGCTCCCCCCAGCCTTCCCCCAGCTCCACGCTTCTCCCAGCCCCATCCTTTCCCCGGCTCCATGGTCCTCTTATACATCAAGTTTTCCTGTTTTTTTCCCTCACAAATCACTGATGATTTAGAAATAAGAAAACTAATCAGCACTCTTGGTACCAGCAGCCAGGAAATTAAAAAAACGAATAGCATTGGGGAAAGTCTGCTGTCAGAGACCTCTCCAAGGTACTGAGGAGCAACGATGTAAGTCTGGAGACGAAGGTGCATCTGATACAGGCACGGTCTTTGCAATCACTTGTTATGCATCAGACAGCTGGACAATGACTAGGGAGGATAGGAGAATTGATGCCTTTGAGCTGTGATGTTGAAGAGGAGTATTGAATATACCATGGATGCTAAGAATATGAACAGGTTCATTCTGGAGAGGGTTAAACCAGGCTGCTCCTTGGAGGCAAGGAATTCTGAAGCTTCATCTGACATACTTTGGACATGTTGCAAGGAGGGACCAGGCCTTGGAGAAGGATATCATGCTCAGGATGGTGGAGAGACAGTGCAGGAAAGGAAGATCCTCTATGAGATGGATTGATTCCGTCACTGGGGTAATAAGGATGGGCGTGTTGGAGACAATAAGATTGGCAAGGGATAGAGCAGGGTTTAGGGTTCTTGTGCATAGGGTCGCTATGAGTCGCAAGTGACTCGACGGCACATAACAACAACAAAAACAACAATCAACATGGAGGATTATACATGGAAGAAAGTGTAGAAAATATAATGTACAGATTTCTGATTGACACCATGTTTTTGAAATTTTTATAAAAATGATTGTTTTCTCTATAACAAAGAAAGTGTAACCAGGATGATCCTTAGAGGCAAAGATGATGAAACTTTTGCCACATACTTCTGGTATATTATCATGATGGGCCAGTCCTTGGAAAAAGACTTCATGCTGAGAAAGGGAGGTCAGCAAAAGTGAAGGTGACGCTGAAGGAGATGGACTGACACAGTGATGGTAACAACTGACTCAAGCACATGGGAGACTGTGAGGATGGCAGAGAACAGAGCAAGACTGAGATCTGCTGTCCACATGGCCACAATGAGTCTTGGTCGACTTGTTTACACTGTACATCTTTGTAGTAAAGTGCACACACTCTGGCACTGGGTCCAATTAATGATGGCGTCTCAAAGACTTCATGGTCCTTCATGAACTTGATTCATTCTCAAAATAGCCTTCAAAGAAACCTTCTTCCAGTACAAAGTGTCCTGAATACAACCATCTATCTGCCAGCTCAAATTTTTACATGCAGCCTGCCACACCTCTCTGTACAGGCACTTATCTATCACCTTATTCTAATTGTTTCGAGATGAGGTTAACATGTGAGTAAAATCTGAGGACTGAGGCATTTTAATAAATGAAAACTGAGCTCTAGGGGAAGTAGCCGGAGGAAGTCTCACTTAAGGAGAGTCTCCAGGTTATTGGAGAGATGCCTGAACTGGACAGCCCACTCAGACTAATCAGGTGATCTGGCGTTTCATTTTTCTGCAAGTTCATTAGAGAAAGAACTGCAACAGAAAAGTTATCAAGCCATGTCTCAAAGCCTTTTCTTTCCATATTGATGCTGTTGTTGTTAGCTGTCATCGAGCATGACTCATAGTAACCCTATGAACCACAGATCTGAACCCTGCCCTATCCTGTACCATCCTTGCAATCCCTGACACACTAGAACCCATTGCTGCAGTCACTGTCAATTCACCTGATTGAG